GAAGAATCTGCACCAGAAGAGCAAACAATTGAAGAAGTATCTCCTGTGGAAGGAGATACAGAAGATACTTCACGAATGGAAGAAGTAGATTAAGATCTAAATATGATATCAATGTGTAAATGAAAACATTGTAATCATTGTAATCATTGAAAGACTGCTGAAATAACCACGTTTTATGTGGTATTATCTAATTCCACTTTTTGTATCATACAGTTTGTACGATACAACAAGACATTTTTTGATACCAAATATATAAATTAAACTTAAAATAAAATTTATTACGATATGCATATATATATGTGTGTATTTTTATCATTATAAACTTACCAAATACTAAATACAAAATAAAATATTACAATATATAGACAAAAAGTAATTAGAAAAAAAGTGAATAATCGTCGCAGTTTCAAGAATTTCGAAAGTACAGATAAAACGGATACTCATTTCTTTCGTAATGTCGCATACTAGATGAAATAACCTATATTCGTACTTAAATTCGGTAAATACTCTAATGTATTGCATGTTTTTCTTACAATGCACATGAATTAAACTAGATATACTTAAACATACTTAGGTGAAATTAAGTTGCTTATTCATTCCTGGCGATATCATTAATGTTATCTTCGCAAAACAGATGGTTTCACACAGGTATTTGACGATTATTCAGTGCTCGCAAAAGTATGTCAAAATACGCCATCTACTCAAAGCTTTAAAGTGATTGAAAAACTCTTCTGTTATAAAAACAATTTGGTCTTCGGATAAGACAGCAGAAAGACATTTAAGAACAATTATGATGGCAAGTAAAGGTTGGAAGGTTAGTGTATCGGTATAATTATTAAAAAAAAAAAGTATACTCTATGTTAATATATGCGTGTAACATAAAAATTTATCAATTTATAAGAATTAAATCTTAATAGGTAGTAAAACCACATGTGCCTATGATTAAATTTCGTAAAGGTGGAATTAACAGAGGTAATAATATCGAGTCAAAGTTATTGAATGTAAAGTTATCGAATGTTTCAGTTAAAAAAGCCGACTAAAATCATTGTTATTGGTTAGCTCATCCAGGTACAGCTACACCATCTGTGCAAGCAGGGCCGACTGTGTCACAGAAAAGTCCTGGTGCAACAGGACCTAATGTAGTTGTTTTACCAACGATAGAAGATATTTATCTTCCTCCACGATTTCAAAGACGACCCCTTGATGAGAAAGAAATTGCATACATTAATGCAAGTATACTGTTATTTTATTATTTACTTATACAATGTTCACACAGAATGTAAATTATTGAAACATAAATGAATTTATGTAATATTTCTTGAAATCAGTACAATGAGAAAAAAAAAATTTCTAATGAATGAGTCTTTTTGTGTTACAGAGAGGTGGTCCAGAATAAATTCCTTGAATAATGTATAGGACATTATCAACTATAGAATATTATTAACAAACCATTTTACTATTACATGTTTTCTGTAATTAATTCTCTAAATGCCTCTAAATAAATGCCAACAAAACAATGAACTATAAATTGTACATATTTTTATCATCTATCAGACAAGGTCTTTTGCCTATGTGTCATTGCCAAAACTTGCTATTTCTGGCTTGTTTTTTGGCTTCTTATAACAGAATAGTGGTTCTGTATGAGAAAAAAGAACATTACGTTATTTTGTTTAAATATTTGTGTATAGCTACGTTAGTATTATAATTAAAAATTAGTCAGCCTCTAAATATAAATATAAAGGATTCCAAATTTTTTTTACTACAATTTATATTAAGTATTCTTTGTATATGCAGAATTATCTTATTCAATTAAATATAACAAATCGGAAAGATTTGTACTTTTAAATTTGTGCTTTTTTTTTGTTATTTCTTTCTACGAACACATTGCAGATTTTATCAAGCGTAAATAAGAAAATATTTTGAGAGTAGAAGTTAATAGACACAGCCCTGTTCCATGACAGAAATAGCAGACGACAGTGCGCTGTGTCTTCCATCTACTTTTGTGATTCCTGGACGTGCTAGTGAACGATCCATAGTTATTTTACATTTTATTGAAATTGCGAGAATTACACGAACGACGAATTTACGAATATGACTGAAATTACGGATTTCGGTCCAAGAAAGACGATTTTTATCCTAGCGATTGTAGCCGGGTGTTTTGCGGTATTATGGCCGAAAATTTTTTATCCTATGCTCACAGCATCTGTCAATCCACATCATACGTCGGACAATTCTGGTAAGATTTTATTAAAATATCTCATTCTTCAAATAAAAATAAAGGGAAGCACGGGACACATACGTATGATTAAGATTTTCTTAGTCCAAATTTTAAATTTTAAATTTTATTCCTATTAAATTTTTTAAATTAAATTAGTCGCAAATATTCTTCTTCTCTAACATTAAAATTTTATATTTTTAACTAATTATTTGAAAGTATAAAATATAGTTTTAACATGTTATTTTTTTCTTGACGATGAATTAAATTCTTAAATGTTTGTTAGCATGCTGCGATGTAATTTTTGAAAGTGATGTCACTGCTGCTGATATTATGTATGAAATATGTCAGAATATACTGAAACATCATCAAATTGATTCAAGAGTAAGGGACGCTTTGAAAAGTATAAAATTAACACCACAAAGTGCAAGTTTGTGTAGAGAAGAAATTTTAGCCAGATGTGGTATAGATTTATCTACATTTCTTGCTCAAAGGGAACATCTGGGAAAATCTTATAAACAAGTTTTAGAAGAGATCAGATCATTTAATAGTTCTCTATGTCTTAAAATACACTTTCGTATACCTCTTTCTCAACTAGGAACTCCACATTTAATTAGAAATCACATTTTAATGCCACACAGTAAGAATTATACAAGGTTTTATTCAAAATTTTTAACCTACTAATGAGCATGTACAGTTTTCTTTTACTATTAACATAGTTACATCATTTGAATTAAATCACTAAACTAATAATTATATTTTTAATAAAAAGTGCCCATTTGGTATTATTAAACTAACTAATTATATATGAAAAGCAGATTCGAGTTATCTCTTCTATTTGGCAAGTTGCCAGAAGAGCAAATATAACTAGAGATGAGTAGATGGAGAATATAGATGGATAGATTTGGCTTACAGTTATAACTTCAAATATAACAGATTTTGTCACTATATAAAATGATAACGTACTGACATTGTTCTTATAAAATCTACAATAATTATAATAGCATTTTAAGTTTTGTTTGTTTTATATGTGTTTTCTAAATAATACTTTAAAAAATAATATTTGTATTTTTAGATACTATAAAACAAGAACGAAGTACACCCCCACATGCAGGTGGTTTACATCCTGCATTGAGAGAACGTGGTAGAACTATACCTTCTTCTCATATTGTACCAAAAGTTGTAGATAGACCTGATCATGTTGTACCAAAAATGAGACCACCTTTAGGAGGTGCAGGACATGTTGTTCCTGCACCAAAAGGAAGTAGTACTATGGGTATCATTATGCCATTATATACTTTGGGCATTGTATTATTTTTCTTATATACAATCGTAAAGGTAAAATATTTATAAAATTTGGATATTTAAATAACTATGTTTCAATCTTATAATACCTTATTACAAATTATTTTATTAGGTGCTGAGAAAAAATTCGGATAGTGAAATTATTTCAGAATATCCAGGAGCTACAGCAGAAAAAGAATTTCGAAGAATGGTATTCAGTCCTGAAGCTTTTGCTACTGCAATGACTGGTGGTACAATACATTATCAGAAAGAAAGATCTTCATCACCACAAAGGCCTGCTCCTACCATAGAGGAATTAAAGGACCGTAAGTTCTTTAAATATTTAAAAGACATTCACAACACTTGATTTACATTATCATTAATGCAGTGTTTTCCTTGAAAGCTAGTTCCTTTAAAGAAATACTGAAAAATAAGGTACATGTTTTTTTGAGTATCTAATCAGATTTTTAAATGGTGTTGCATGATGCAAGGTTTGCACAATTAGAACACACACGTATTTATATCATAAAATTTAACAAAACAAAAAAAAAAATGTTAGACTAAAATTAAAAATATTGTAAGTACTCGTGTATATTCTCTGAACACGTTTGGTAATGTTATACATGCTGGAACACAAGAAGCGGCAGGAGACATAGAGATAGATCAACTGAGACGACGTTTGGTCGAGACGGAAGCAGCCATGGAAAGAATTGTTGTTCAGATGGGCAACATATCACGTTCAGTTATGCATAGTCCAAGCCCACAACAAGAACTCAAGGTTTACTAGACTAATTATGAAACAATTTAAATTTTCAGTTCTTTAGTCCTTAGAAATGTGCACGTTGTTGTGTTCTGATTGCGTTTCAAGTTTTACCTCTCCTGTTGTACATTACGTACATATTCATTACGAGATCTTCGACATTTCGCTTTTTCTTATATTCCAATGCTTCTGTATAACCGTATTTTAATTATTGATCATTTTTTATACATTCTTCTTCATAAAAATGTGCATACTCATATTTTAGCTGAGTGAAGTACTCGTTAAAAGCATTTAAGTTATTAAATGTATTATAAATGGTAGAATTTATAGTTCTTATTTTTACATTTAAATAGTAGATTGGCCTCCAAAGTCCAAAGGCCTGGCAGAGGTTGATCGCTCACCTAAGGTATATTCTTTGCCTCAAAGATTAGCTAACAAGAGTAACCAAAGTTTGTGGCAAATTGTTTGTGTTAAATTTATATTTTTCCTACAAGTAATGAATCTCTTACATTTGAATTACTTTTGAATCACCAACAATTATTTCAATTGTTCGTGTATATAATTATGTTAATAAACAATGTATGTTATAATAATTATATATGTTATAATAATTTTTATAATTCTCATTATTATTTTTTTATAAATGAGTGTATGAATAAAGATGTATTGATGTAAAGATGTCAACGATATAGTAGTAAGTATATATTGTCGATGGAAATCGTTTTTAATGAAATAATTGTTGGTAATTTCAACATGTCGATAAATAAATATTATTAGCGAAATATTATCATTGATTTGAATGTAACCCATGTACATTCAGATACTTTTTTATATTCTGATATTAAGAAATCAATTTCGCAATAACAGTGTTTCATTGTATTTATAATATGCTAAAACATATTAAAATATATTAAAATTGCTTAAATATAATTATTCTTTTTAAATTGATTGTTCTTTTAAATTTAAATTGTTCTTTTTAAATTGATGATTTAGATGCATGCCTTAATTATTGTTGCGTTATAAGTTTTTTCTCATAGAATAGCATGAGTTTTAAATAATTTTTTGTTATAAAATGTGTGTATTTTAAATGCTACATTGTATACATTTAAAAAAAAAGATACATATTTTTTATTGATTTATAGTATTAACTATTTTAATATATTATAGTATTAACTATTTTAATATATTTATTCATATATATTATTTATCTTATATTGAAAATTATTTTTTTTAAATAATACATAAAATTATTCATTTGTATTATTTAATTTACAGGACAAAGTTGTTCAGGCTGAACATAGTACAACAAATGAACAAGTAGAAAATATGGAACATTCACCAACTGTTAAAGTTATGGGTATGGAAATGACAGCTAGTTGCGAGGGTAAGGGTAATAGACCGACTACTCCTATAATCCCAATTTCACAAAGGTAAGAAAATATTTTGAGAAAAAATACATTTGTTAGAATATATAGTATTTATAGTATTTATAGTATTAGAATATATAGTATTTAATAATTCTAATGAAATTGTTTCAGTCATATTGAGAGAGAAAAGACACCACCAAAACCGATATATTTAGAAGGTGCACTTCCTCCACAATGTGAATTACTTGTAACAGATTCGGAAACACAGGCTCAAAAAGCAGAAGATGTAGAGGCACCTGTTGTGCTTTCAGGCAAAATGACCCTCTCTCTCATCAGTCTCGACCAAAATGCAGCTGTAAGAAAATATTAGAATTACCAACAGAATCAAATGAATCTGCGGAGCCTTGTTTTATTTGGTGATTCTTTCATTCATTTAATTATTTGCTTCTGTACAGATTACTTAACATGAAAATGACAGATCACGGGTAGGATGTATAAATTATTTTTTCGAATAATTACTTACATAAATGGAACATTAATATGCTATTACGCAACAGCAATTACTAATTTATGATTTGTTTTAAGAATTAATATTTAATTTATGTTGTTTACTAAATAAATTATTAATCTATTTTTGAATTATTAAATAAATTATTTAATCTAGTTTTGAACAAATATATATACATTATATCGCATTTCATAAATATTAATATTTACGTGACTAACAAATGAATAACTAAACAATTCATTTATAATTTTGTTACAAAAATACTATACATTATTTGTTTAAATTCATACGATCATTTTACATTTTACATTTAGTTACTTCTTTCTGAATTTATGATTACTACACTTGATTGAATACAATCTTTATATATTTGTAATATAATTTAAACGTCATAATATTACACTATAAATGAAGAGACTAAATATCGTTCCATTACTTTAGGAATTTGAAAAAGAAGATCGAGAAATACAAAATGTAGAAAATACAACAGTCTCGAACATAAAAGATATGGAAAAATTACTAAGAATAGCTGATAAAAAAGAGGAAGTAGATGCCAAAGTACAGATTGATGAAATAAAAAAAATTGAGCAAGTAAAACAAGAGCAAGTAAGCAAAAAAGAAAAAAAGCAGGACACGTATGTAGAACAAGAAAGGTTTAGAAGTGAACAACAAGAACAAATAAACGAAGGAAGAAAAAGAATGGAAATAGATGAGATTAAAGAAACAGAAGAGGTTGAAAAGATAGAGGAAATTGAAGAAGATGAAGAAATAGAATTATATAATGAAGATGAAGAAGAAGAAGAGAAATATACCGAAGAAGAAGGCGAAGTAGATGATAATGATGATAATGAGGAAGAGGAAGAGGAGGAGGAGGAGGAAGAGGATGAAGAGGAAGAACAA